GGGCTGTCCCTGGAACAGGCCCTGGACCTTCACATGGGGACAGGGCCTGACACTAGACTTGAAGCCTAGGCCCATGGCCTCAGGCTGGTCAAGACATTATCTAGTAGCTGATGGCAGCTGCAGAGAGATCTTTGCTGACACCCCCTCCTTGCAACTCTCTGGGGTGCTGCCTATTAAGTGAACAGACGTGGTTGTGGGCATTTAAAACTTGCATAAGATCAGGTGACTTTACACTACCCATTCTGTAAGCTCTTAGTGGAGGCCAGTGACACTGACCACAGCCCAAGTCTACCTTAGAGAGCACAGCGACTACCCAGGTAAGACAACGAGCCCACAGTTGAAGGAAGTTTACACTATAAGCTATGGGTTTATAGGTCTTTGAACCCAAAGATGAATTGGTTCTGATTAGAGCCCTACTGGGGTCACCACAAAGAAGGGCGGGAGGAAGCAGTCCTTTCCTGTCAGGGCCTTCGTCTTGTGCTTATTTCTGTATACTGGTCCTGGGGGAGAAGAGAGGCTCACTTGGGAGCAGCACCGTCATTCCCAAGTGGCTTGTGAGTCTCTCTGGCAATGCTCCCAAGGCCGGGGAACCTGTGACTGAGCAAGAGGTGGAGTGGAGCCTCCACCCAAGAGCAGAGGAGAGCTCAGATCAAGGGCCAGCTGTCACCACAGCGATGAGCAACTGACAAGTCAGCCCTCGCTGTGGCTCAACATGACCCCGCAGGAACGACTTGAATGCCAAACTCTGTTTCTTTACAACATTCAGTCCCGTTTTTTTTCTTCCCCTACTTTTGAGGTAGAAGATCTTGCCATGTAGCCTTGAACTCAAGAACCTCCTGTCTCGGTCTCCCAAGTACAGCACACACAACTGGCTGGACCTTGGTTTTCTTTTTGATACAGAGTCTTATTACATAGGCCAGGTTGGCCTGAATTACGTAAACCAGGCTGGCCTTGAACTCTAGAGATCCACTTGCCTTTGTGTCCCCAGTGCTGGAATTAATGGCGTGTGCTCCCAAAACTGGCTCCTGATCTGGTTTTCTCATAAAAGAAATAATCTACTGTACAGTTCTTTGACTGTATTCTGAAAACTCAACCATCCTTATGATGCTGGGTCAAAGAGAAAAGACACTTAGAAAATTCACTTTAATCTTGTACTTGTAATTTACTTTCCCCCCCAAACAGTTAAAAAAACCAAACACACTCTATTACCATGGTCCTAGCTTGTGAACATATTGGTACATTGACTACACATCACCATAACATAATCACAAAAATGAAAGAGTCAGCACTGGAGAACCTAGGAAACGAAGAGCGGGCAACCAAAAGCACCCTGGCTCACACTTGCTGCCAGGCTGTTCCCCGCCAGTGTTCACAGAGAACCTCAGTGAGTCTGCCAGGGCTCAAGGGGCGCTGCTTTGGGAAAGGATCAGCTTCCTTGGTCCCCAGAGGTCTAACCTGTTGGGCTTTTCCTTTAGCATCCAAGGGCAAGGTTTAGAGGTTTGGGAGGGGAGATAACACACAGTCTGTGTCCCTACACACACTCAGAAGCTAAGTCAGATAACTGAGTTTGTTGGGAAGTACATATTTGGGAAGTCAACTGCCTCCAGGAAATGTCAGACACAGGCACTGGGCTGTTTTGTTAAAACAGGGCTGCCAGCATTAGGGGTTTCTGGACAGCAATGCAATAGATTCCACCTGCAAGTGGGCAGCCACCTGCTGCTTTGGTTTCTCTTCTTAACTTTAAGGATACTGACATCATATGTAAATTATAACTTCAAGATAGCCAGGAGCAAAGCTCAGCTTTATTCCCGAGATGGCTGCCTCACTGGTACCAACTGTGCTCACCATGGTGAAAAGGGTTCTGCGCTGCCAGAGGTCATCTGTGTGAGTCCTAGGACTGGCACCATTGGGAGTCTCTGAGTGCACTTCAAACTGCTGAGTTTAACCAAATGGGGATGGAGATTCGTGTGGACCAAAGTTACACTGTAAACCGATCACCACCGCACAGGCTGGAGTCACAGGAACTGGGTGCCAACATGACTCATTCTACCCAGTACTGCACTAATCTAGGTGGACCTGCCTCAGATTCAGGACCAGAAGGTATCACCATCTACCTCAAAAGGGAGATGCTAAGAATGAACATCACCATGGGCCCAATCATTTTCAGCTTTCTCTGTCTAGTCAAATGCTAACCATGTAGGTCAAGTTCAGCCTCTCAGATAGAGGTCAGCAAGAGAAGGGGAGCGAATGAGGGAAGACAGCCTTCTCCCCGGCTTTGCAGTGCTAAAAATAATTTTTTTTCTTACAGAATGATTTAGGAGTCTCAGTGTCATTTCCAGTTCCAAAACAAGCTACGGGGGCCAGACTTTATTACGCGTCAACTGCGTTCCAAACAGTTTCTGTCTCTAAAGTTAGGACAAATCTGAAAGAATTTAGCCAAGGGACAAGTGTAAAAGGCTCCCCATCTATAATTCACATCCACTTTCTGACTGCACTTCAAGGGAAGGGATGTGTGCAGCGCACGTGCACACACACACACACACACACACACACACACACACACGCACACGCACACATGCACGAGGATCAAGGCATCTTGCCTTGTCCAGACATCACCAGTGACACAAGTGGTCCAGCCTCCAGCAGGGTACCCTATGCACATGCTCATCCGCCTAAGAAGGCTTTCAGCTGTCTGTAGGAGAGGTCTTTCAAGCCGTACACTGGAAGGTAGATTTTAGTAAAAAGAGAGACTGACCATGGGGACAGTCATCTCAGAGCCACAGGACACTTGCAGCTTCTTGTCTACTATTCCTTTAAATGTGTTGAGATGTTCTTTGTTTCTCTTTTCTCTTAAAAAGGTCAAACTTTACATTTATTCTCGCCCAGTTGGGGATTGGGGATAATCAATTCCCACTGAAATCATGCAGAGATGGTAAGTGAGGTTTACCTTCTCTGGAAATGAACTTCTACTTACCTGATTGTTTCTTCTACAATGAACTGGTAAATGACCCCAGAGCTGAGAATGTGAGTGATTCAAGTTTCTCAGACCACTTAACTTCATTCCCATTTCCATCAGCAGCAGAAAGGACAACCTGGAGAAAGAGCTTAACCGAACTAACAGCTTCACCGCGCAGGTCCACCTGGGTCTAAGTACAGTGGGTGGCCATACTTCTCAAGGGTGTCAGAGCAGCACGCCTTCAGCTAGACCTCGGAAGGAGAGCGCAGTGCTGGCCTGATGAGTGTGCAGGAGTACCCACATCTCCCTCAAAGCCTGGCATCCAGCCCAGGGCCTCCAGATGCTGGGCAGATGTTTTCCTACTTCTACCTTTCAAAGCAGCATATATCTGAAGGGCTAGTCAAGTTATGGTCACTAGGCCATTTCTTGAAGCAGCTTAGGTCTCTTAATGTCTGACCTGTTTTTCAGCAAAGTCCTTCACTATTAGTCAGTGGACAAGTAGCTCAGAGCAGCTATCAGACGACTCTCTGCAGCATGCGAGTGGTTGGGAAAAGAGAAACAAATACGGAGAGATATTTCTTAGATGTAACTTGAGATTACAGTTACACAAGAAAAGGCAAATGGCACACGTGACCTGACTCAGCATGTAAAGGCATTCACTCGGGGGCACTTTGGGTTAAGGGACGAGTTGCAAACCAGAGAATGAAGATGCTCTCGTCTCTCTCTCTCTTGCTGAAGTGAAGGTGGCCTGACCCCCATTTCTATTTTTCTAGCAGCTGGTTCAGCTGGCTTTCTTAAACTCAGATGCATGGTTAGGGACAGTGATGAGAGCCTGACTGCTTGGTTTCCAAGGGAAAAGCCTTAACCATCCCTTAGTAGGCAATACATGCTGGGGGAAAGTGAGTTGGCTCTCAGTTCAAGTTCTCCCAGGCTTACCCATGAGCCTCTGTGTCTGGAGTCTGCTGGCAGAGGCCCAGTGCTGCCTTCCATGTGGTCAGGTTAGCCCTCGAGGAAGTTCAGTCACTTATGCTTTTACTGGCTGGGGAAAGTGGACAGCAAAATAAGGCAGGAAGAGGGAAAGGTAGAGAAGGCTCCCGCTTACTAGTAACCCTGTGTGCCAAGCTTCACCCTGATCCCCTCTGGCAGCCTTGCCTTTCTGCAAATACTGGGTTTGGGAGAAGCAGAAGGAAGGATCTGCCATGCAAGGTTGAGACAGTTAGACTGACTGATATTTACTGGCCTAAATGGAGAACCAGCTTTCTCCTGACCACCTCTTAAGCTGCTGTGCTCACAGTCTGGGCAGTTACGGGTGCCTGGGTGCTTTCCGGCTCGGTCAAGGAAACAGATGTGAGCCACAGTACAGAATGCAGTGGTGCCTGGCGCTGGCCATTCCAAGCCTTTCTGCAGGCCAAGCCTTGCCAGTGATTTAAGATGAAGCACAATGCTTTTTATTACACATCTAATTGTTAATGAGAGGAAATGCAATCAGCAGCTCCTTTCCACTCTACATGGAACCGAGGAGACTGCTGAGTCCAGAGCAGACACAACCACTGATGGCGCCCAGGACATTCCTGTCCCTCCCCCTGGGCACAGGGAAGGAGAGAGAAAGCCGCAAATATGACAAGTGTCATGTTCATGAATCCACCGCTGCCCTGGGGTCACTTGCAGCAAAAGCCTGGAAATTAGGATACTCAAACTCTTCCAAGTGTCCCATTTTCTGGGTGATCCGCCTCATGCTAGATGAGGACACAGCACATGCCTTCTCGTTGAAGATGGAGAGAAGGAAGGGGGACAGAACCCAGGCTGGGGAGGAGGCAGCAGGTGCAGATCTTCCAGTGTGTGTGTCCCTCTCTCTCCTTTAAGGACGTGCAGGCAGCTGTCTCCTCCCACGCAGTGGCTTGGACTACTCTGGCCAGGTGCTGAACACTCCTGCATTAACAGGAAGAGGCCAGGCATTCTTTGCCTGGAAGCTGCAGCCCCTGTCCCCTAGAAGTGGGCCATATGGGGAAACTAGTTCTTCTGCTTAATGGCAAAGGAAGAGAGATTCTGGCAAAACACTAAATATATTTATAAGTCATCTTTGTCTGGAACCCAATGGGAGAGAAACAGGTGCAGAGGGGAAGGGGAGGGAACAGGAAGGGAGACTTAAAAGTTCCAATCATTCACACAAGATAAAGACATCTTCTGATAGCAGCACTGAAGCAGCCGGGTGTGCCGAGCAGACCATCCTGGTCAGCTGCTGACCGACTGTGTTCCAACAGGAGTCTCAAAGCCCTGCTCCTCGCTGATCCATCCGGGGAATCCGGGTAGGAGTGTGATTGTTGTTGTTCACCCTGGTCTTGGCAGATATGTTAAATACTGCGACATTAACGAGTCCTGTGTGGAAACACAGCCAACAGTCATTAGCCCCTTTCCTTCTACTTTCCCCTTGCTCTAAGACAAAAAGAATGTTCATGTGGCTGACAATAAGAAAGGCTTGGGGATCCATCCCAAGGGCTGCTCCCTGCCCACAAAATGCTTCTGTCACAGTCTCCTTGGGGACTTACACAAAGGAGCTGTGTGCTCAGGAGACAGCGGCTCTGTGCAGAGGCACTCTGATATCCTAAGATTAAGAGTGAACAATGGTGGGACGGAGCATGCTTTCCCCTGCTCCCTGCAACAACAGCAGGCAGGGACGGCTCTGTGGGCTCTGCCTGTGTAGGTGGAGGCTGGAAATGTGGCCTGGAGATTAAGGCAGGGGTGACACTGGAGATAGAAATTTGCTAGTCATCTATGCTGAAGTGAGAGCTGAAGTCATGGGAAAAGGTAAGACAATCCAAGAAGAGACCTTAGATGAGTCACAAAAGACAGCCAGATTCTCAGGGGACGTCTGCTTCATCAGGGTGAGGAGAGAGATGTAAGCAAAGTGAGGGAGAATAGGAACAGCGAGGGTTAGGTGCACATTTCCACGAGGCAGGCCAGGCACTCAATACCCAGTAGCCCCCACCCAATAACAAAATACTATTACATTGGAAAAAAACAAACATTGGCGAAAGGGCAGACAAGGTACACAGTAATCATGGTTATCTCCATGCAGACCTGTGGTGCAGATTCTGTACTCATTTCACTCATCAGGATATGACAGTCTGTGAATTTACACGCCCACAAGCACACAGCCAGTGTGACTTAGCTGAAGAATGATGAACCAACTATGCTCTCTCCAACAGCAGAGACACTGAGGGGAGCCCCCAGAGACACACTCACTCCCTCAGGAAGACTGACAGAGGTGCAGGAGTGCAGTGAGAGGCATGTCTGCCATAACAACCAAGGCGAGTGTGACAAACAGAAAGGCACAGAGGCAACGCTCCCAAAGCAGGTGCTCTTCCTAGGACCCAATAACCCAACACATCTGACCCAGTGATGGCACCGGAAGCCAACTGCAGACGCGCTCATCAATAATACCCAAGTATTTTAGGTTTTGCCCTGCCTTAGAGAGCTGCTAGAGATTTGGGAAGGATACCAACTTCATGTGACTGCTGGAGAAGAACAAACTAACCAACCATGGGGTAATCTCCTGTGGATGGAGTAGAGACTGCAGACAAAAAAGCTACCTTCTGTTCCCAGGGAAACCAGGCGGAAATGTGCAATGTCAGACATTTCCGGTCACGTGTGGGATGAGCTGCTAGACTGGAAGGCCTCCCTGATCTAAGACCTATACAATGACAGGCTTTTGGGTCATTGATTTTCCAACTGGTTCAAATGTCACTGTACTTTCATAAAAACTGTGAAGGAACTACCAGTACTCCTACACAAGAACTCTACAGTCCTCTAGAACTAGAACTGGCTAGCTTCTACCATGGAAATCCCTGCTTCATTCAGTCCATGCCTCCTGCTGTCTAGGGCTTGGTGAGACAAGGGAATGAGAGGGAGAAACTCCCAGGAGCTAGCAGCACCTCACAGCCAACCCTCCACCTCCTACCACAGGGCCACATATACAAGTTCTTTTCATACCCGGGCAAGTATGAGGTCAGTGTTGGGTTATTTATCTGGAGATGTAGGTGTATGTCCGAGAAGGGGAGCGGGGTGGTTCAGCATGAGCAGCTGGATCATTTAGGAAGTCCCAGATGAGGATTGTGTCATCATGCGAACTACTGACAATCTGGAATTCATCAAACTGGAGTCGGAAAACTCTTCCAGAATGCTCCTAAGGAATCAGAAACAAAAGTATGATTTTGACTCAAAATCAAAAGCATCATGTCTAAAGGAGCCGATAAAGAATACGGTGTGCTCAGTCATTGTTTCAAACACAGACAGGAAGCAATTTCACTAACGTTAGGATGGAATACTCAAATACCTGGCAATAACTGGTCTCAGGAACACAGTAAACAAGCAGTATTACGTAGGCAAAATTGCAAAGAAGATGCTGGCTTGTCACTATCAACTGGGGTTAGGCAAGAGGAAAGGAGAATACTCTTGGTACCTCCCTGGCCTTATCATCTCCTGCAAGCTCCTCTGACCATCAGATATCACAGGTGGACAGCAGGTGCTGGTAAATGTGTGCCAACTAAACTTCTTGAGGCTGGAGACATGGCTCAACAGTTAAGAATGCTGGTTGATCTTCCAAAGGACTCAGGTTCAATTCCCAACACCCACATGGAGCTAACAATCATCTATAACTACAATTCTAGAGGATTTGACACACTCTGGTCTCTGAGGGCATTGCACTGTACAGATACACATGCAGGCAAAGCATCTGTGGACATAAAATAAAAACATAAACCATTTAGAGATTTTCATGATGCATCAAGTCCTGCCATGACCAATTTGAAGCTATCCACATTCGGTCAACAACTTGTAAAATTCTAATGGCTGGCTTTCTTGAGGTCAGGAGCCTAGTCTAGCACATCAGGGTAGTAAGCACTGCCTAGATCAGGCGGCTACTCTTCCTGGAAAGTGCTTTTGACACTGTTACTAGTCAGTCTCACCTGCACTCTAGTGCTTTTTCACTTATTCTTAAATTTCATATTAAACACATACACACATTTATTTATTTATGCCCAGCTTATTTTACTCAACATTCTTTGTTGGTTTGACTCTCAAGACAGGTTTTCTCTGTGTAACTGACCTGGCTACCTTGAACTCACAGAGATTTGCTTGCCTCCGCTTCCCAGTGTTGGATTTAAAGGTATGTATCATCACCGCCCGGTTATGTTCTTCTTCTTTTTTTTTAATACCTATTTTTCTTCCCTTTTTAAAAATAATGATTCATTTATTTTTATTTTACATGTATTGGTGTTTTGCTTGCATATGTCTGTGTGAGGGTGTCAGCTCTCCCGGAACTGGAGCTATAGATAGTTGTGAGTTGGGAATTGAACCTAGGTCCTTTGGAAGAGCAGTCAGCGCTCTTAGTCGCTGAGCCATCTCTCCAGCCCACAAGCTGAATACTCTTTTGTTGTTGCTGTTATTTGTTTTGTTTTGGGGAACAAGTCTTGCTATACAGTCTTAGCCTGTCTTGAATTCAAGATCCTTCTTCCTTAGGCCTGAGTTCTGGTTATAAGCACCCACCACCATTCCCTATTTGTAAAGTTCGATTTTTCTTTTTAAAGATAGGGTCTTTATATATAGTTAGGTGGTCAGAAACTCATAATCTTCTTGCCTCATCTATCTATCTATCTATCTATCTATCTATCTATCTATCTATCTATC